GGCCATCCCAGAACAGCCAACAGCCAACCACCCACCCAGCATGTAAGCAAGGCCATCCCAGACTAGCTGGCCTCCCACTGACCCACCTCTGACCACAGACCCATAAGTAAGCCCCCTCAAGCTCAGGCACGGCTGACTAAGATCAGATAGTGGTCCATGCCCCATAGACTTAGGAGTCAAATCAATGCTAATTGTTTAGGGCACCTGTTAGGGGTTGAATTGTGTTCCCTAAAATTTATATGTTGAAGTCTTAACCCTCAGTACCTAAGACTGTGACCTTATTTGGAAATAGAGTCGTTGTGGCTGTAATGAGCTGAGATGAGGTCATACTGGAGAAGGGTGAGCCCCTAATCCAATGTGACTGGCATTCTTACAGAATGAGGAAATTGGAACACAGACGCACACACAGGAAGCACACCACATGAAGATCAGAGTTCTGCGGCCACAAGCCAAGGAGCTACCAGAAGCTCGGAAGGAACAGAACCTTCCCCAGCATCTTCAGAAGGAGCCCAGCCTTGCTTGCCCCTTGATCTTGAACCTTCCAGCCTCCAAAACTGAGACAATACACTTCTACTGGTTAAGCCACTCAGCTTGTGGTATTGTTTCAGAAGCCCTAGGAAACTAACACCATGCTTTTCCTAATTCACACAAAGTTAAGGTTTGGGCTGGCTTCCTCACTTGCCTCCAGGGCAGCTGCCAATCATGGCTCTCCTCCCAGTCCCCAGGTAACTCTAAGAGGGCCCAGGAATTGCACCCCCACCCACCCCTAGTTCCTCTCCAAGGTTGATCTGAATCTGGGAAGTCTGCGGCCTTCCAAGAGCTCTGGAGTCCCTGTCAGGGAGGGGTCATGGGCCCATACAAAGACAGCTCCTCGCCCAGACCCCTCCAGGCTGCCCACTGACCTGGGTTGCCGAGGGCCATGGAGTCGTAGATGAGTTTGCAGGTCTTAAGCAGGATGGAGATCTTCTTCTCGGGCGAGTAGGCCTTGTGCATGCTGGCGAACTTCTGCAGGATCTTCTCCATGACGGGCACCTCCGGCACGCTGGTGGTCACACCTAGGTCGGTGGTGGTGGTGGCCAGGATCACTAGCTGGTTCTCCTTGAGCTGCTGCAGCGAACCGTCCTTGCTGTGGATCTCATGCAGGCATGAGTTGATGGCTTCCTTCAGGGGCTTCAGGACACATTTGTACAAGGCAGACTCTACAGTTGCTTCTGCAGGTGAACAAGAGAGCAAGGGTGAGGAAACCAGATGCAGGGATCCTGCCACCTCGTTCTGCTGCCCAACAGCACAGCATCCCCATCCCCTGGCCCCTGGAAGGACACTCACAGCCCCAGCAGTTACACCCTGTGGTTCTGACACACGAGAGAGCGTAGTATATTCAACAGAAAGCCACACTGGAGAGGCACTGGCACAGGAGCCCCTGGGGACTAATGCTAACTGGTCATTGTATGCTGATGCTTTTCACAGGGCCTGGCAGAGCGCAAACTCTCACAGGGATGCCTATGAGTACATAACTTCAGAGGGTGCTATTTATACTGGAGTTGTGCAGTGCACAACCTGGGCAGCTGTAAGTTCATGGCCTGAATGCCCAGTAAATGACTGGTAGAATTATTCTTGATAACTCCCTTCCCATTCCCAAACCCACTTGATGCTAGTCTCAAAAATACAGTATATCCATAACCTGACTTTTTTTTTTTTTTTTTTGAGACAGAGTCTCCCCTTTGCCAAGCCAGAGTGCAGTGGCGCAATCTCGGCCCACTGTAGCCTCTGCCTCCCTGGTTCAAGCGATTCTCCTGCCTCAGCCTCCGCAGTAGCTGGGACTACAGGTGTGCGCCACCAAGCAGAGCTAATTTTTGTATTTTTAGTAGAGATGGGGTTTCCCCATCTTGGCCAGGATGATCTCGATTTCTTGACCTTGGGAGCCACCCGCCTCGGCCTCCCAAAGTGCCAGGATTACAGGCGTGAGCCACCGCGCCCGGCCTGGAACCTGACTTTTTATCACTTTCATGGGTACTACCTTGGCCTGGGTTGGTCAGGCTACCGCCATCATCGCTTGCCTGGGTTATGTCAGTCGGCTTTTGCCCTGGCCCTTACAGTCCCTTCTCAACACAGCAGCTGGTGCTGTCCTGTTATGACATCTTTGATCATGACATTCTTCTGTTTGGAAACCTCCAATGGCCCCCATCTCCCATGCAAGCAGATCAAAGCCAAAGCCTCGCCATGGCCTGCGAGGCCCTCCCGCGTGCTCAGGCTGTTCCACCAACTGCCAGGCCTGTTCCTGCCCCAGGGCCTTTGCTCCTGCAGTTCGCTTTGCGTGGCACAGTGGCCTTGCGGCTGTCCACACGGCGGGTTCCTTCACTGTTTGAATGCCGTCCTATCTGACAGGCAGTCAGATCCGCTCTTGGAGCAGGAGTTGGTGCTCTGCTCTTGTAGCTGCTCTGAGGCCTATGTGCTCTGATCCCCACTCTGAAGATGGACCAACTTAGGGTCTCATGGGGTGGGTTGGGGGTTGAACGAGGACTTGAACTCATGTCTACCTGACACCAAGGGAGGCTCCGTTGCTTTGGGTGACTGTAGAAACATATTCTCAGGAAGTTGTTTTGGCTCTGCTCTGTCTCCAGAGGATGGGTCTTGGCTATGGGCCCAGTAAGGGCAGGCCCCAAGTCCTGTTCCTGGAGGGAGACACCTGGGCTGCCCCAGACCTGGGAGGGGGGGGGCTCATGTTCCCCCGGGACTGGGTCTCAATAGAGACCACTGATTCCCCATGGCTGACCCATGGCCATCCTGGTCCCTTGCTGCTGCCTCCCTCTTCCCCTTCAGCAGAACACAGGGCTGCCCTCACCTCCCTCAGTCCGCTCCTGATCCTCCTTCCATGCCTACCTCCCGGCCTCATTATCCTTGGAGCCTCCACAGGTAGAGATGGGAGCAGATGGAGTTGACCTGGGAGCAGGGGCTTGCACTTCCCCACTGTCCTGGGCTTCTGCATGACCTTGGCTAAGTCCCTTCCCCTCCCACGGCCTGTTTCCTGAACTGCAAAATGAGAGGGCTGTGTCCATGCCCTCCTGGCCCCTTCACATCTAAGAGCTGCAGGTTCTCTTCCTGGCACCTCCTCTCCCTCAGACTCAGGCCCTCACCAGCCACACGCTAGGACTGTTTGCTCTAACTGTTCCTTGTGACATGTCTCCCTAATAAAACCAGAAGCACCCTAAGCATGGAGTTCTTCTGTCAGCCCTTTTTTTTTTTTTTTTTTTTTTTTTTTTTTTTTTTTTTTTTTTTTTTTTTTTTTTGATATAGAGTCTTGTTCCGTTGCCCAGGCTGGAATGCAATGGTGTGATCTTGGCTCACTGCAACCTCCACCTCCCGGGTTCAAACGATTCTCGTGCCTCAGTTTCCTGAGTAGCTGGGATTACAGGCGCCCACCACCATGCCCAGCTCATTTTTGTATTTTTTGTAGAGATGGGCTTTTGCCATGTTGGCCAGGCTGGTCTTGAACTTCTGACCTCAAGTGATCCGCCCTCCTCGGCATCCCAAAGTGTTGGGATTACAGGTGAGCCACCATGCCCACCCCTGTCTGGCCTTTTATGTGGTTTAAGTTCCTCCACCATCTGACTGCTCACATGGGCAGAGCTCAGAAGGAAGAGGCAGAGGCAGAGCACTCAGCTCATGGAAAGGGCTGCGCTGCGTGGGTCTGAAGCCCAGCGCTGCTACCAGCTCTGTCCTCATGGCTAGGTCACCGAACCTCTCTGAGCTGTGGTTTCTTGGGCGCAATAGTAGCTAGGCCCATCGGGTCTGGCTTGCAATCATAAGGCTGGCACGTGCAGTGTCTGGAATGACACTGCTGCTGTGGAGCTGACCTTGTTCCCACCCTCTGGAGGGCCCTTCTCCCCATCTCTGCAGCTCCAGCCCTCCCTGTCCTTGGTGGCTCAGCTCAGCCGCCACCTCCCGCTGCCTGGAAACCTCTCTGCCCCACACATGTGTGCCACGACAGGCACTGGTGACACTCTGCCACATCACCTGCCAGGACAGACTCCAAGTCTAGCACCTCTTGGCATCTGATGCCCAACACAGAGCTGGCCTTAACAGGACCCATGGTATATCTCTTCCTGCCAGCCAGCGGCCCTGAGGCTGGAGTCACTCCTGCTGCTTTCAGCAGAGGTCCAGCTTGGCTCTACCTCCTTTGCTCTGCTGAAGGCCACAGGGTACTAGCCTTGCCCTGCCCCAGCCTCCTGAGCAGTCCTCATTTCATTCCCTCTGCTCTGCCCTGCACACACACCCTGCGGGGGGCTCCATCGCCTCTGGGCCAAATCCTCAGGCTGACTTTCACTGCCTGTGTGAATGGCCCGTGACCCTCCAGCCTCATTCCCCACCTCTCTGCCTTTGTCCATGTTGTCATCCCTTTCCAGAAGAAAAGTCCTTCCACCACCCTTTCCATGGCTCAGCACCCCTGACTCCTCCCTTGGGCCTCAGCTCTTACACTCCCCCAACACTGGAAGGCAGGGCTGACCACAGCCTCCTCTGGGCCACTTTGAGTTTTCCATGTCCTTCCATGTCCTTCCATGCCCTCCTGGTCTACATGGTGCCTGGGGCTCAGTCCTTAGACCCAGATGATCTCATCTAGTCTCATGGCTCCTTTTGTGCTGACACTTCCCAGACAGCTCTCTTTAGCCCCAGAACTGCAGACTCAGCCCTCTAAGGCCGGTGCAACCTCCCCACCTGGTGTCTAATAAGCATCTCCACTGTCACATGTCCCAAACCAAGCTCCTCAACTTGTCCCCAGTGCCTGCCCCAGAATGGACGCTGTCCTCCCAGGGACAACACTGCCTGGACACATCCTACCTCCCCTCTCCCACTCCCACATCCAGGCTCCAGCCAGTCCTGCGGCTCCAGCATCACAACAGGCCCAGAACCCAACCACGTTTCCTCATCTGTGCTGCCTCCGGCCTGGTCCCAGCCACCTTCACTGCTCACTTCGGCTGTGACAGCAGTGGCCTCACACTGAGTCTGAGTCTCTCTGCTCCCACTTGGCACTATGGCCAGAGTGATGCTGTTCACATGTGAGTGAGATTACTCACCCCTGGACGTGAACCCTGCATGACCCCATCTCACATACAGGAAAAGCCAGGTCTACAGAGGGGCTCACAAGGTCCTAGGGGTCCTGCCCCCTAACAGCCTCCTGACCTCACTCCCATCCACATGCCCTCACTTATTACACATCAGGGTTCTGCCTGCCTGCCTGCCTTCCTTCCTTCTTTCCACCCTCCCTTCCTCCCTCCTTCTCTCTCTCCTTCCCTTCCTCCTTCCTGTCCTCCTTCCTTCCCTCTTTCTCTCCTTTCTTTCTTTCTTTCAATGGAGTCTTGCTCTGTTGCCCAGGCTGGAGTACAGTGGCACAATCTTGGCTCACTGCAACCTCTGCCTCCAGGATTCGAGCTATTCTCCTGCCTCAGCCACCTGAGTAGCTGGGACTACAGGTGCACGCCACCATGTCCAGTTGATTTTTCTATTTGTGTTTCTTTAATTTAATTTTTATTTTTTTGAGACAAAGTCTCGTTCTGTCGCCCAGGCTGGAGTGCAGCGGCACAATCTGGGCTCACTGGAGCCTTCACCTCCCAGGTTCCAGTGATTCTCCTGCCTCAGCCTCCTAAGTAGCTGGGATTACAGGTGTGTGCCACCACACCCAGCTAATTTTTGTATTTTTAGTAGATACGGGGTTTCACCATGTTGGCCAGGCTGGTTTCAAACTCCTGACCTCAGGTGATTTGCCTGCCTTGGCCTCCCAAAAGTGCTGGGATTACAGGCGTGAGCCACTGCACCCGGCCCTACTCATTCTTCTTGCGGATTGCCTGTCACCCCTGCTAGACTGTAAGCTCCCTGCAGGCAGGAACCTTTGAGTGAGCTGCTCACCTCTGTCTCTAGATCTGAGCCAACACCTGAGGCAGTCGGGTGCCCCATAACTCTTTGCCGACTATCTGCTTACAGGGGCCTGGGCAGTCACACTCACAGCACTGGCCTCAGGTCTCAATCCCACCACCCTTCACCACGCCTGAAATGCCACCATTAATCCTGTGGCCTGGCAAACCTATCAGTTTTCAGGAGTCTGCTAGCAAAATCCAGAAGCCCTGGAAAGGAACACCCAAAGCTCCTTTTCTAAGAAACGTTCACTATGAATCTGCTGTGCTCAGAGCCCCACATGTCCCTTACTGTGCCCAGCACAGACTTTCATGACTGGGTGGGGAAGGAGAGGTTTAGGGATGCCAGGGGATTATCTGCCAACTAGCTCAGAAGCAGCTAAGTGTTTAGCAACCACCTTGGCCAAGCAGTGCGAGCTGACAAAATGTATTTTTTTTTTTCCTTTTTGAGACAGGGTTTCGCTTTGTCATCCAGACTGGAGTGCAGTGGTGGGATGCTGGTTCTTTGCAGTTTTGGCCTCCTGGGCTCAAACAATCCTTCCGCCTCAGACTCCCAAGTAGATGGGACTACAGGCGCGTGCCTTTACGCCTGGCTAAATTTTGTATCTTTTGTAAAGACGTGATTTTGCCATGTTGCCCAGGTTGGTCTCAAACTCCTGGGCTCAAGGGATCCTCCTGCCTTGGCCTCCCAGAGTGCTGTGACTATAAGCTTGAGCCACTGCGCCTGGTCTGAATATTTTTAATATATGTAGGTGTGTGGTTGATCACAACTACTTCTCACGGGGAACCACAATCATAAAAAGCTTTGATCATTATCGGACTTGAGGCTGGTGAGGGTGGGGAAGGCTGGAGGCTACTTCAGAAGGGCTGGTCAGAGGAGTGAGCTGTTTTGGGCTGGTTCCCTGAAAGCAGAGCCTGAAAGTGGGATCTGGGTGCGTGTGATTTCACTGCGGAGATACTCAGAAGACAGGGCGTGAGAGCAGTGGGGAGCCACAGAGCAAGCTTGAGCAAGGAGGAACTGTCAGCCTCAGCCGGATCTCACCAGGCCCCGGAGCATAAACTGCATCACGCAGTGGTCCTGCTTGAGGCAAAGGGGCCAGTCTCTGTTCCCCCATGGCAGGGAGTAAGGGGCAGTGGGCCCCTGGTGGTGGAAGACAGGGTGCAGATCATATAGATCCTATTCAGCCAAGGTCTATGCTCTAGGAAAGGGGGGAGCCGCGCACCATTACCAGCCTACCTTGCAGCAGCTGGAGAAAGGTGCTGGTGCCCAGGAAAGGGGATGGGAGGTGGGCACCAACAGTGTCCGCTGCATAGGCCTCTCTTGTCCTAAGGGTTCCTGAGTCTATGAGCCCCACCGCCCTCTCCTCCCTGCCGCCTCCTCCCAGGGCACTGACCGAGCTCCTCCTCAGAGTGCAGGGCAGGGTCCACCAGGACCTTGAGCTCGGTGCTCTGCAGCAGGTAGCTCTTGAGCTGGGTCATCATGGTGCGGATCTCCTGCAGCATCTCCGTGCTGGAGGCCTGGCGCGCCATCATCTCCAGGCTGTACACCTTGTAGTCCTGCACCAGGCTGCCAAAGTACGAGGCCTTGTCCTGCGCCAGCTCTACCACCTTTTTGTACAGCTTGCGGTTATTGGAGAGGAAAGCGTGGAACATGCTGCTGAAACTGGCGAAGCTCAGCCGGTGCCGCGCCTTTCCCAGGATCATGGAGGGCTTCTTCTTCACGCTGGGGCTGCTGAACTGCTCCAGCTCCTCCTCCGTGCTGCTGGTCGAGTAGGAGTCCTGGTCAGCGGCCGTGGCAGGCAACCCCAAGCTGTCCGAGAGGGAGGCCAGGGAGCCCTTGAACTCTGGAGAGCTCTGGGCATGGGCGGCAGCCGGGACATGGGGTTGCTGAGTCCCAGCCTGGGGTGCAGGGCTTTGGCCATCTCTGGGTATACCCGGCATGGGTGTCTCCAAAGCCATCTCCTGTGTGCAGAGCTCGGCGCTCTCTAAGGGAGCAGGGAGGGCTGAGGCCAGTTGTCGAGAGATCCTTTTTTTCCTGGGCGGTGGGACTGGGGGTTGTTTGGCCTTCCTGGGTAGCTCCGGCATGCTGTCAGGATCTCTGGCTTTCACCTCTGTTTCCTGGCCTTGCTCTGTGCTCCCCTGGAGCGTGTCCTCACGGCTGTCTGAGGTCCCTTGGGGAGGCAGGCTGAGCTGGTCCCCCTCTGCCGCCATCCCTGCACTTTGGTCTTCTGAGGACACCCTCTCAGAAATGCGTCGTCTGGGAGGGGCAGTGGGAAGGTTCTTCTTTGCTGGCAGTGGTGGGGCAGGGGCTTGCTGCAAGGGGCTGGAGGCTGTCCCTGGCTTCATGGCTTCCTCCCTGAGGCGGCCCAGGCCTGCGGTGGGGCGTGGGAGTCTCTCGCAGGCTGTCATGGGCGGCTGGCTCTGATGATCTGGGGGACCTGGGGCATGGGGTGTGACGTGGGGGGCAGGCACGGGGGAAGAGCTGGGCAAAGGACAGGCAGGGGTGGGGGCAGGAGCAGGAAGCAGAGGGGGCTGGGCTGGGCTGGAGGGCTGCAGGGGCAGCACTGGGGGAGGGGGCGGCGGGCGGCGTGGGGCCCACCTGGAGGTGGGCGAGGTAGCATCAGAGGTGGGTGGCAAGGGGTGTGCAGGGCAGTTTCCAAGAGGTGGCTGGTCAGTGGGCAGGGCACCGCTGTAGTCCTCGATGAAAATGGGATTCACAAACCACAAGCGGTCATTTCCTATCGCCAGCTCGATTTCACAGGCACAGTTTGCGTCACGGGCTGTGGGCCTGAGGCTGGAGACTGGGGGCGATCCGGGGGCGCGGTCTTTTAGGGGCTCTCCTGGCTTCTCTCTTTCTCGTGGAGGATTCAGCGAGGAGTCCCAGAAGCCTGTGGAAGCAAGAAAGGGGCAGGTGGTCAGCGCGGACCAGGCACCAGGGTTGCTGTGGTGGGCGGGGTCTGTGGGTGGGGTCTGCGGGTGGGGTGGGGCAGGGCCGTGGGAGGGCTGTTCAAGGTATTTGCTTCACTACTCCGAGGGTTGTTTTCCCCTCTTGGACACTTTTAAACCTCTCCCACCACTTCCTGCCTCAAGAGGGGAAGCCCCGCTGGGTCCTCCCCAGCAGTGTGGGGCGGGGCGGGGTGGGGCGGGGTGGGGCGGGGGCGGGGCGGGGCGGGGCCGGGCCGGGGCTGGTGTGACAGGCTCAGCTTCAGTTCTCTTCCTTGGTCTGAGAGCCCACCTCTGAGGGCACTGATGACACAGGGTGGGGGTGACAATACTGTGCTCTGGAGCCGTGGGGAAGCATGCTGAGGACACAGGGGACAGAGGGCCTGGAGTTCCTCAGCCAACCAGCTGGGTGCTCTGGGGCAGGTGGGCTGATCCTCCCAGGCCTCAGTCTAGCCATCCCTAAAATGGGGTCACAACAGTACACACATCCCAGGCGTGCGAGGGGGAAGGAACTTTGGTCCTTTTTTTGGCCTCCTTGGTCATTACATGCAGGAGGAATGAGCCTATGGATTGTGGCCGGCGAGATCAGACCTGGCTGTCCAAGTAGGGAGGACCCACCTACCACAAAGTGATTCTGACTCCAGCCAATCTCTAGATTAAAAGAAGCTGGTCCTCTGCCCCAGTCGGGGGAAGCCAAGGCTCCTGCACCACGGAGCTGCATTGCAGTGTGTGCCTCTCTACCGACCCCGTCCCCGGGGGCTCAGCCATGGCTATGGCCACCAAAGCAGGCTAGGGACAGGTATTCTTGATCGGTGAGGACCACACCCTGCCAAGCATCTGACGGAGGCTCAGGAACTTCCAGAAAGGGCACAGGGATGCCACATCTGGGGAACAATTGCCGTCCGCACACAGCCCACCCTGCGCTCACTCGAGCTTCCTCCTGAGAGGAACGTGGGTCCCAGGTCTTGTTCAGCCTGCTCGGTTGGGAGCTGGACAGGGGATTACCCAGGCAGGCGCAGTGTTCCTTGTGAATTGGTGGGCCAGCCTTTCACCCAGGGCTCTTTACTCCTGGGAGGAATTCTCCCTTAAGAAAACTATGAAAAATGACATGGAGGATAATCAGAGGAGCAAACGTTCATGGCGTTCTGGCTGTGGGTGAGCCTGTGGGCTACTTGCTTTACCTGGGTTATCTCACCCGCCCAATCACAGGCCTTACACCCAGTTCACAGATGAGGGTAAGAGGCTCAGAAACATGAAAGCACTCGCCCCCAGTCACTGGGTTGGGGAGTGAGGTGCGGGGATCTGGCCAGGTCGGGCTGGTTCTACGCCTGTGCTCTGTGTGTTGAGCCTGTGTGTTAGGCAGGCTTCCTTCACAGGAACTTGCGCCACTTCCCATGTCGGTTGCTGTCCCAGCATCAGTGAGGAGCAGGGAGGCTTGCAGCGCAGAACTGAGGATGTGGCAACAACACAACAGGCTCTTGATGTTGCAAGGAGACCTCACAAGATGGCCTGGAGCAGCTGAGCACGTGCTCGCTCTAAGAGGTGGGCACTATCAAGGATATAGGCATTTGCCATCTTGCTGGCCAGGGGTTGCCATTGCAATCAGGGTAAGCAAGTGCCTTCCCAGGACAAAGAGATTGAAGAAACAGAACAGAAGTGAGCTGCGGCCCACCAGCTGTGTGTGTCTCTCTGGGGTGCAACCCCCAGCCCTGTCCTGGTCAGATACCCTCTGCCTGGCCACCTGAATATCATAGCCAGTGGAGAGATGCCAGCTGTCATCACATTAACAAGCATGACAACCTTTCCTGTGACTCGTTCCAATGTGCAAAGCTCTGTGCTCATCACCGTCACCGAGGTCACAGTATCCAGAGTGGCCTCTCCCAGGGCCTGGACGAGCTGCTCTTCATGACTTTCTTGGGCAGCTCCTGGCTTCTCCATGAATGCCTCACTCTCCCAGGCACCTTGCGTTGAGTACAAACATGTTTTAGCCTCTGGAGTGTTTGAAGCACTGTGCCCATGTCTACACAGGCCCAATGAAGTTGGCCCTTTGGGAGTTTTCCTGGCAAGGAGAAGCAGGCAGCTGGGCTGACCCCACGGTAACTGAGCAGCAGCCCCACATGTGAGCTGAGACCCCTGGTACCCACCTCCAGACTCTTCCTGTGGGCAAAGGTGGTGTTATGGGGTAGATAACATATAGAGCTGCCCATTGGTGCCGGGATACCCCACAACTGCTCCCCCAGATCATGGCTATAGTGGTCCCCTCTGCTCCATTCTCCTCCTGCGGTCCTAGGCTAGGCGTACGGCAGGCCCTGGGTGGCTCTCTGTTGAGAATCACTTTCAGCCCCTTAGCCTGGCATTCAAGGCTGCAGGACCTGGCCCCTGCACATCTTTTGGGCGCCATCTGCCGAGTCTTCACACCACGCTATCTGCTGTTCACTTCTTCCTCAATGTGCCACACGGGGCCCCACCACTGGGTCTTGGCCGATGCTGTTACCTCTGTATGGAATGATTTTCCCTCCCACTCCACCTGGAAAACACTTACTCATCTTTCAAGGCTCAGGCCGAATGTGACCTGTCCGGCGGTGCCTCCCTGATGTGCTCGGGCCTTGCCCACCCCGCCTGTGTTCCTGTAGCTCTGATGTGCCTGTGACGGCAGTGACCATCACTGGGACTCGAATTCTCCAGTTTTTCCTGACTTTCCCCTCAGACTCAGAGCTTCTAGAAGGCAGTCAAATGCTTCAGCTATCTGAGTATTTCCAGCACCTAAGCCTGCTTGGCCCAGAGCAGGGGCCCCGGGTCAGCCCCTTGGCACCCATGAGTAGATCAGCTTAGCCGGAGCAGAGAGTCAGGCCTCTGAGGAAGGGGACACAGGCAAGGTTAGTTTTAAAGGCAAGATGGGGACAATCTGAACCATGGGAGGACGTGTAAAGAGAAGACAGTGAGAGGAGGGGGTAAGGAAGGAGGGCAGAGGAGCCCCGTAGGCGGATGGAGCACCAGCTGGGCAGCCTGCCACGGGACAGGATGGGTCCATGAGGCACAGAACCCAAGGGCACATTTCCCATTGCTCAGGTGTGGATTTTGGCAGGAACACAGCAGACATAGGTTCAGGGAAATAGGCCCCAGGACTGGGTAACTAAGAACAGCTTCCCTGCCTTAAGACAGGCCTGGGGTTTGCACCCTGGCGGGACAAAGGTCTCAAAGCCAATGCCACTCTGAGGGGTGGGGGAAGCCAGGAGCTAAAGGGCTGCGTCCAGGGTCTTGGGGCCTGTTTGGGAACCACAGTGGCATTGCAGGGCTTTATGCTCCAGAAAAAGGGAAGTGGGTAACTTTCTCTGCAGCCTGCCAAACGCCAAGACCAGAGGAGAAGCGGAACCCTGTGTCTTGCAATCCTGGTGGTTTGGTTGGCAAAGCTGTGGGGTCCGATGCCTAGAGGCACCATACCAAGCCTTGGCTCTGCTGCAGTTCTCCCAAAGGCCCAGTCTTGCCCTGGCCTCAGACCGAGGCCACAATTTTGCTGGCCCCGAGACCTCTTGAGTGTTGGCTGGGGACACCTCTTGCCAGATGTCCACTCTTTCAATCGTTAGAGAACCTGGGTCACATCACAGCTAGGCTGTAGGTCCTAAGGGCAAACTAAGGCTCTATCCCTGGGGAGCTTGGGGCTAGTGGCAGGACAGGAAGGAGATGAGTAAAGGCAGCAAAGTGTTCCAGATGCTATGGACACACTAAAAAATCCAGCGAGGTCAGTGAATAAATATTCATGTGGCATCCCAAAGACAGGCTGTTGCAGTCATTTGAAGCCAAGTTTTCAATGAAGTTTTAATAAGTAGGAAAATGCTCATCATCTGATGTAAAGGAAAAGGCAAGTTACAAGCAAACTTGGAAGAGCCACGGAACATATGCCTTTCCTCAACATATTTTTAAAGTCTGAAACACACATACACTGGAAACATGTTTGAAAACCACAACAAGCGGCTTTCCCCTATTCTCCAAGTTCCTTTTAGACTTTTACTCAACTGCTGCATATAGTTTCACGCTGAATTGCTGCTCCCTATGTTAGTTTTTTGGCTTTGACTCACCGGAAGCTCTTAAAGTACAAGATTACACCTTATACAGCCTGCAAGTTCGAACGCTGGCTTTTCCAAGTCCTAACTGGACTTTATGACATTGGCTCATGAATGCACACTGTGAGCCATTGCATGGCGCTGAACCTGTGGGTCAATAGCTGGGTTTCAGCTACATCGTCCCTATTTCAAAAGCTCCTTGGGAGTTTTCTGAGCAAGGAGAAGCAGGGAGCCAGGCTGACCCCATAGTAACCGCATATCAGCCCCACATGTGAGCTGGGACCCCCGGTGTCCACCTCCAGATTTCCTGTGGGCGAAGGTGGCGTCATGAGGTGGATTACAGAATTGCCCACTGGTGCTGGGACACCCCATGACTGCTCACCCAGATCACAGCTGTGCAGGCCTGTTGCAACTCTCTGGATATTTGTTACATTCTTCTCATAGAAAAATGAGTAGCATGCCAAAACAATAAAATTGATGACACTAATGGTAAGAAATACATACGCCTCATGAACTTTCTGTAACTACAAGATCATCCAGCGGACTGAAAACCAGTAAATCTTTAGCCTTAACTAGACACTCCTTGGCTCTGGGCTCTAGGGAGAAAGCTGAAAGTCACAAATACATTCAAACAAAACCAGAAGGCAAGAAACCAAAACTGTATTTTCAGTTGTGTATAGGTGTATTAAGGAGAAGAAACTGGAAGGAAACATTCCAAACCTGCAGCAGTGGTGAGACTATGCATGGTTTTCATCCTCAGCCTTTGCTGGTCTTGTCAGTTAAAAACAAGCACACACAACATGCTTGACTTTTATAATAAGAAAAAAAGATGTAGGCTGGGCACGGTAGATCATGCCTGTAATCCCAGCACTTTGGGAGACTGAGGTCAGTGGATCACAAGGTCAAGAGATCAAGACCAGCCTGGTCAACATGGTGAAACCCCATCTCTACTAACAATACAAAAATTAGCTGGGCGTGGTGGTGCGGCTTGTCGTCCCAGCTACACAGAAGGCTGAGGCAGGAGAATCGCTTCAACCAGAGGTGGACACAGCAAGACTCTGTCCAAAAAAAAAAAGAAGGCCGGGCGCGCGGTGGCTCACGCCTGTAGTCCCAGCACTTTGGAAGGCCCAGGCGGGTGGATCACGAGGTCAAGAGATCGAGACCATCCTGGTCAACATAGTGAAACCCCGTCTCTACTAAAAATACAAAAAATCAGCTGGGCATGGTGGTGCATGCCTGTAATCCCAGCTACTCAGGAGGCTGAGGCAGGAGAATTGCCTGAACCCAGGAGGCGGAGGTTGTGGTGAGCCGAGATCGCGCCACTGCACTCCAGCCTGGGCAACAAGAACGAAACTCCGTCTCAAACAACAACAACAAAAAAAAAAAAAAGAAAAGAAAAGAAAAGAAAAAAAGAATATGTAATAAGAAAAAGCAGCACATGGTAGGGGGCATATGGAGGGCATGGTGCAGAGGTGAGGACCACCGCCCTGCCTATCCCAATGCCAAATCCAGGCTTCCTTGGCAAAAGGGCGCCATGCTGTTTTCCACTGGAGGCGCAGCAAGTGGAGGGGAGAGGGCTGAGGGGCGGGAAGCGGTGAGAAAGGCTGGCTGAGAATCCGGGCGCAGCGCAGTCAGAGCATGGAGTTCACACTCAGCAAGCCCTGAGTGTGAATTCAGCTTCTGTTTACCTCCCAGTGAGGAAGGCCCTTTAGTTGACCTTTCTTTCTCTGGATAACAGCTTTAGTGAGATACCACTCACCTACCACACAGTTCACTCATTTGAAAAACACGTCGGTGGTTTTCAGTATATTCACTGAGTTGTGCGATTCTCACCACAATCGATTTTAGAGCATTTTTATCACCCCCTTAAAGAAACCCCATGCATGTGAAGCACCACCTCTCCGTGCCCCTTCCCATCCAGCCCCTGGCAATCGCTAATCTGCTTTCTGTCTCTATGGATTTGCCTACTCTAGACATTTTCTTCAAATGGAACTGTAACGTATGTGGTCTTTCATGTCGGCTTCCTTCACTTAGCATGTTTTCCAGGTTATTCCATGCTGCATCATGTGCCAGTACCTTCACTTCATTCCTTGTTATAGCTGAAGAAACTCTTTAGACCCCTTAACTTTCTATTTCCTTATCTGTAAAATGGTCTTTTTTTGGTGAATAAATGAGATAATGTATGTGTGGGCATGGGGCAATGAATTTGCCCCCCATTGTCCTTTTGGTCTTCCCTGAAATGCTGACTACACAAGGTAACCCCTGACTCACAGGGCCTCATCACTAGGCTGGCCAGGGATCATCTGGATTCTCCTTGGAGAATCTGAATGAAGAACAGTGGTCAGGTGGGGCTGTGAGCTGAGTCAGAGCTCAGCTGGTCAGGGGAGCAGAAGAGCAGGAACCTGAGTCAGCAAGGAAGCCCTGTGCAGGGAGCAAGGGGCTGGTGTGTGCACAGAGCAGCTGCAGTCACCTACAAAGCCTGGCTAACCCTCCATCTCCATTTCTCAGAGGGTCCCTGGTGTACTTAGTCTCTAAGTCTCTTTCTTATGCTAGCTTGAGTGAGTTTCACTTCTTTGCCACCAAAGTCCCTCCTAGAACAATGTGTGACATGCCAGGCACAATACCTGGTGTGTCAGGGCCCTTGACAAATGCCGCCCTTTGCATATTTATTAGCACTATTTTACATGAAGGTTGGCAGGGCCCAAGCCTGCCCATGCCAAGGCCAAAGTCTCTGGCCTTGATAGGATATGCTCCTTCTCCTCTGGGTCTCCAGTCATTCAGGAGATGACTGAAAAGTGAAATTCTGCTTGGCTGGAAAAATGACTGTGGTGAGCCTGGCTTTATGTCTCTGGGGACACCAGGTCTGCACAGAACCGTTTGGCTCCTAAGCTGCAACATACTCAGCTTACACTTAAATCCTGTTCTCAAGGAGGTAGGTGCTGACGGATGAAAGTGAACTGCTGTTGGCTTCCGAAATGGAAACCTCCCTTCTCCACTTCCTCCTTGTGCTGAAATCAAATTCTCCCAGGAGAGAAGGCCTTGTCTATTCCAGAAAGGAAGGCAGTTCTCCCAGGATGAACATCTCCCTTCAAAAAAAGCACATTCTTAGGTCTTAGGAGAAGCTGCACTCTTGCAGGTGAGAGGAACTAGCAGGGAGTCCTCGGCAGTCAGTCCTAGGGATGCCTGCCTAAGCCCCATAGTGGGGTCAAGAGGTACAGCAATGTGACGTAGACTGAGGCCATGCATCTCACTTGCTCTACCAACGTGGCCTGTGAACTGGCCACTGACTGCTCACTGCAAAAACAATAGAGAAGGTGAGGAGGCACAGCCGAGGAACAGTGGAAAGGCTGTGCTCAGAGGCAGAAAGCTCTCGGTGCAAGTCCTATCTGGGGCGCTTCACTGGTGAAGCCACCGCACCCGGCCCTGAGGATTCCTTACAGGGAAAACGAGAGCATGTTTCATGCAGTTGTTCAGGAACCCGCTGTGGACAGAAAGCCTTTGTTGCAATTCTTATCTGGGGCACTTTGCACAAGGTTCCCAGCTGGGCTAAAGCTTGTGTTCTTTTTTTTTTTTTTTTCTTTTTTTGAGGCAGAGTCTCAGTCTGTCACCGAGGCTGGAGTACAGTGGGGCAATCTCATCTCAATGTAACCTCCGCCTCCCAGGTTCAAGCAATTCTCCTGCCTCAACCTCTGGAGAAGCTAGGAATATAGGCACATGCCACAATGCCCGGCTAATTTTTGTATTTTTAGTAAAGATGGGGTTTCACCGTACTAGCCAGGCTGGTCTCGAACTCCCGACTTCAGGTGATCTACCCGCCTCGGCCTCCCAAAGTGCTGGGATTATAGGCATGAGCCACTGTGCCCAGCCAGTGTTCTATCTTTAAAATGCACAAAAATGACATAAGACAATGCCAAGCGCTCTGCAACAGTCGGTGTCATCCAACCCCTAGGGAAGGTCATTTACATCTTACAAAAATGCAAATTACAAACTGTCACCTGTCCCATATCCGAGGTCCTGGGAGGGTAAGAACCCAAAAACTAAAATTCTGGGAAGCAAAGTTTAATAGCAAGTTTATTCCAGTAGCAACTGAAAACTGGCCGTTGGTTTTACAACTGGGCAAATGAGACCTAGAAGAATCTGGAGAAAGAGTTAAGGGGCACCATGAAACGGTGGCAGGTGCGGCAGCTAAGTGGCCTGGGTTCATCCCAGCCCTGCCATGTGCCGTGTGACACTGGACATGACTTAACCTCTTGTGCCTCAGTTTCCTCTGCCATAGAAGGGGAATTATAATAATAGCACTTGCTTTATAGGATTGTTTGAAGCTGCGATAAGCCAATGCAGCTAAAGAGGTTAGAATGCAGTCCATGCTCACGGAACACTAACATCCAAGGACCGGAACCCTCCTAATTCCTGGCCCCTGACCACGGCTGCCTTGTGGTGTCTCTTGCATTGCTGCCCCTGATGGACCCCTCTGAGTGGTGAACAGTGGCCTGGCTTGGGAACCAAGGGGTGTAGTCTTTCATCCCAGGTCTGCCCCTCACTTCCTCTGTGACCTGGTTCTGCCCTCTGGGCCACCGTTTTTTCCATTCCACCAATACTGGTGAACAGGGCACCCATGTTCTGGGCACTGTGCTCAGCCCCATGGAGCACAGTGTCCTATGTATGGCTGAGTTTTGCTAAAGACTTGCTGATGAACTGCTTTGCTCTTAAACGTAACCTGGCGGCCCCAGGTTATGAGGCTCTGGGGCCTGCAGCGGCTCCTGAGCAGCCTGTGTGAAACATGCTCTCTCTTTCTCTGGAAAATTCTCAGGGCAGGGCACAGTGGCTCATGCCCATAATTCTAGCACTTTGGGCGGCCAAGGTGGGAGGATCGCTTGAGGCCAGGGGTTTGAGATCAGCCTGGACAACACAGAGAGACTGTGTCTCTGTAAAATATAAGAAATTAACCAGGCATGGTGGCATGTGCCTATAGTCCCAGTTACTCAGGAGGCCTGAGCCTGGGAAGCTGGGGCTGGGGTGAGCCGTGACCATGCCACTGTATCCAAGCTGGGCGATAGCCTGTTTCAGTAAAAAGATAAGAAAGGAAAAGAAAAGAAAAATTCTCTGCTCCCAACACACTCTGAGAGAGGCAGGGGCCGGTCTCTCGGCAGTTCCAGACATGGCATGCTTGGGCTACTTGAGGGCCAGTGAGGTGAGGCCGTAGTTCTAGGTGGGCACCTGCAGATGGCACCCTTGCAGGACGCTCAGCAAAGCCTGTACATGGAGGAGCCCACTAACGTGAATCCTTCTTAGAATTCTGTGAAAGGGCTGGGGTCAGACACACCGGGCCCTGCCTCCCCTTCTTTTCCTCTCCCCTCTTCACCCCTCAGGAGCTCAGAAGGGTGGGGTGGGGTGTACTTAGGGTCAGTTGTCTGGGCACGGGACAGGCCCCGGCGAGGGCCACACTCAAGTTCATGGTCACATATTGGTGCTGCTTTTTCATTTGATGAGGGGCAAGGGCTGTGGTGGCTGCCGGCCCCAGCTCTTTGGCCCCTACTCAGAAGGACCCTGGGGCTGAGCTTCGCTTTCTCCCAGGACCACACCAATCTCTCTGGTCCTGACCAGGCCCTGCTCCCTCAGACCAAACATGGCTGTGCCTCAGGGTGTCCTGGGCAGCTGATAGAGGCAGTGTTTTGGAAACTGAACAATCTCCCTACCACATGGCTTGGGAGCCTGAGGCAGGGTTGCGGGTGTCCCATGAGAGCTGTGACTCAGGCTGTCCTTCTGCACAGGCAGCCCCTGGGGTGGTCCTAGGGCGTCAGATCCTAAGGCCCCACCAGCTCCCCCGGCCCTTTGGAGAGGACTCACCCAGACCCAGGTTGGCGATGGTCTCAAGGTCCGTGTAGCTGCTGGCCTCAAGGATGGCCTGGGGCAGCCGCAGCGTGAAGGGCAGTAAGTCTCTGTGAAGACATGAGGGGCGGAGGTCAAGTCTGGGGCCACTGCGTCCATTCCCAGCCTCCACAAAGGAGGAGCCTGGCATCCCCACTGGCTGCCAGGGTCTTCATACAGCCTAGAAGCTTCCCTGGAGCTGAGGGGCAGACACTGAGGCAGAGGGAGCATCCAATCAACTCTAGGTCCCAAGCCAGCACCAGGGACCCAGAGAGGTGGAGACCCTCCTCAGGAGTGGGGAGCAGGGTCGCTGCTTCTCCTTGGTTATCCTGGCCTGCTGAGCCCGGGCCAGCTCCTCTAAAGGTATTCTTAGGGTAGAGTGAGTGGCCCACCCCTTCCCACCCTCTGACCCTTGCTGCTGCACACTAAGAATGTGCAGTGAACGCATAGTCAGCATCACCCAGCAAATGTACAGTCAGGCAGCCCCCGACAAACACACAGTCAGGCAGCCCCCAACAAACACGTAGTCAGGCATCTCCAAGCAAATGCACAGTCAGCCAGCCCCCAACAAACACACAGTCAGGCATCTCCCAGCAAATGCACTGTCAGGCAGCCCCCGACAAACACACAGTCAGGCATCTCCCAGCAAATGCACTGTCAGGCAGCCCCTGATGGGCGCACAGTCAAGCATCTCCCAGCAAATAAATGCACAGTCAGGCAGCTCCATCTGATGGCTTTGGTCACAATGGGGAACTGCTCAGGGTTCCCTCCAGAGATCTTGTAGAAGGAGTTCAGACTGATGGGGAAATGTGGGCCGGGGGAGGAAAAGGGACGGCCAGGCCACATGGTAGCTGAAGGTGCTGTGTACTGAGTCCAGGGTTTCTGAATTCCGGCACAGGGCTGTTTCACATGGTCAGGAAGGGGTGCGTGGCACTGCCAGGGCCCCAGGATGGGTGGTCTCGAGTCTATGTTTCATCCTAGTGTTTAAGGACTGGGGACCCCCTTTCCAGCCATGTCTCCCGCTCTTTCCTCATTATCCCACCTACCCTGTTCTCTGAGCCCATTTCCTCCTCTGTGAAGACAGGAATGGATGAGAGGGCAGCCAGCAGTGGTTATGAAGACCTGGCAGCCACCACTGTTTTCTTCCTGACCTGTTCCACCCTCCCTCACTCATTGTCCACGTTCTCCCCAAATCCTGATGCCAGTCACTGAAGTCCCATCGTCCATCATCTGCTTAGCCTCCCACCATGGCTTCAACCAGAGCCACCTCCTCCCTGGAGTCTTCATGGCTTTACTTTCTGCACCTCATCTTCCTGGTGACATGAGGCTGTGAGCTCTGGGAGATCCTGGAATGGGTGGGTGCTGCCTTCTGGGTCTCCAAAGCCCCGCCCTACTTAGCACTCACCATGAGGCTCCAAGGCTCTTTGCTGAATGGACCCAAATTCAGGAGCTGAACTAGAGGCACAGCAACAGAGAGACCACCTGGGATGGGCGGGCCCCGGTTGGGGCACCTCTGCCCAGTGAAGTCAGCTTCTGTGGCCTCCCACGTGCCCCCGTGATCTCTTGGGAAGCGCTTTGATGGAGCTGGGACATTTGTGTTTACCGAAGAGTAGGATGGGACAGGCTGTGGCACAGGTTCTGGGTCCTTTTCTGAGGTCCTGGGGGTGGCCTTGCGCTTCTCCACTGTCAAATGGGCTGGGGGCCAGCCAGCTGCTGTTGGCATCTTTTGTCATTGTGTGATTCTGCTGGACCCTGAGGTCTTCTGATAGCCAAACTGGATGGGCCCTCCATGCTCCACTCCCCTTTCAGGCCCTGACCGCTACCACTAACCCCAGCTCTAATTTTGAAGGGGGGCAATATTCATCCCAAGTTGCCTCCGTTTACTTCAGTTACCACCTGGTGGCTTGTCGGCAGGGTTTCTGATGGTCCCTCTATCTCTGTGTGTATCATGGTGGCCAGCAGAGGCCCTCAGTCCATCTGTGCCCACCCCTTCCCATCTCTAAGCTTATGCATAGAGGGAACAGCCCCTCATCCTCACCAACTATGTCCACTTACATTCTATATACCCTTCAAGGCCACACCATGGACCTCTTCTTTCTCCATGACCTGGCGTTCAAGGGTCTCATGCATCTCTGCTTCTCCATATCCCACCCAATTCACCTCTTCACCTAGGGGAAGCTTCTTCCCATCCGCAGGAAAGCACACAGAGGAAGTGGGTGTTTGTTGAGCATCTACTATGTGTCAGGCATGGGGCTAGGTGTTTTGGAGGCTTTAAATGATATTCTTACTATATCACAGGTGCCCTGAGGGCAGGCACTAGTATCTCTGTTTTACAGCGGACACAGAGGCCCAGAGAGGTGAAGGGATTCGCCCAAGACCCCCCAGCCAGTAGTAATTTCTGACAGAAACACTGAAACATTTAAAAATCTATGCTAATATAAAATTTGATTCTCTACAGGGCAAAACTCTCAATCAGTATCACAAACCACTTACTACATTTTTTTTTTTTTTTTTAAGGAAAAGGAACTATCACTTGTTAAGCTTTATCAATCACTCACCCAAGAGCTTTCCCCGCTATCCCACTTAACCCTTGAAGCAATCCTGAGATGGAAGTGCTATCGTCTCCATTTGTTAATGTTGGATTTTTTTTTTTTAAATTAGAAAAGAAACACATATTTACTGTAGCCAAAGTCATACAGTACAAAAGTGCTTAAAATGTGCAGGTCCTTCCTTCTCCAGAGGGTCCTGCTGTCGACCCCAGGGTCTCCCACCCCGTGGCCACAGACAGGTATCAGGCCCTGGCCTGTTGGGAACTGAGCTGCACAGTAGGAGGTGAGTGGCGGGGGAGTGAGCAAAGCTGCATCTGTACAGACAGCTGCTCCCACCAATCGCATGCGGGGGAGTGAGCAAAGCTTCATCTGTACTGACAGCCGCTCCCACCAATCGCATGCGGGGGAGTCAGCAAAGCTTCAGCTGTACTGACAGCCGCTCCCACCAATCGCATGCGGGGGAGTGAGCAAAGCTTCATCTGTACTGACAGTCGCTCCCATCGCTCGCATTACCGCCTAAGCTCCACCTCCTGTCACATCAGCGGCAACATTAGATTCTCGCAGGAGCACGAACCCTATTGTGAATTGTGTGAGTGAGGGATCCAGGTTTTGTGCTCTTTCTGAGAATCTAATGCCTGATGATCTGTTACTGTCTCCCATCACCCCCAGATGGGACCGTCTAGTTGCCTGAAAACAGGCTCAGGGCTCCCATTGGTTCTACATTATGGTGAGTTGCATAATTATTTCATTATATATTACAATGCACTAGTAATTGAAATGAGGTGCACAATAAATGTAATGTGCTTGAAGCATCCCAAAACCATCCCCACCCCACCCCTGGTTCATGGAAAAATTGTCTTCCACGAAAGTGGTCTCTGGTGCCAGGGTTGGGGACTGCTGGTTTACACTCTGGAGAGTGAGCTTCCTGGCCCTTCTTTAATGCACACACATGCGTGGCCAAGCACATATGCATGCACACCATTATATATATATATATATTTTTAGTAGAGACAGGGTCACACTATATTGTCCAGGCTGGTCTTGAACTCCTGGCCTTAAGTGATCCTCCTGCCTCCACTTTCCAAAGTGCTGGGATTACAGGCATGAGCCACCCTGCCCAGCCCCCATCATGTATTTTAAAAATGAAAATGGCACTATGTTCCATCTATTGCTCTGCAGCGTGCTTCCTCCACTGAACAGTAAAGTTATCTATATAGTGAGCAAGTCCACACATGTATATTGGCTTCTTTTTCTGTGCTGCAGAGTAACCCATGGGACGACCGTCATTTATTTTATTTCAGTTTTCTGAGGTGGAGTCTCACTCTGTTGCCCAGGCTGGAGTGCAATGGTGTGATCGCCACTCACTGCAACCTTTGCCTTCCAGGTTCAAGCAATTCTCCTGCCTCAGTCGCCCAAGTAGCTGGGATTACAGGCATGTGCACTACGCCTGGCTAATTTTTGTATTTTTAGTAGAGATGGGTTTTCACCATGTTGGCCAGGCCGGTCTTAAACTCCTGACCTCAGGTGATCCACCCACCGTGGTCTCCCGAAGTGCGGGGATTACAGGTGTGAACCACGGAGCCCAACCACTATTTTTCTTCTTTTGATGATCATCCAGGCTTGCTTTCTCTCTCTGTCTCCCCCTCCCTCCCTCTCTTCCTGTCTTCCCTCCCCCGGCCTCTTTCTCTTTTTCTTTCATTAATGCTAACCATTACAGAGCTTACTAAGTGTCCAGGAGTGGTTTTAAGCACTTTACATGTATTGGCTTTTTAAATCCTCTTATCAACTTCACAAAGCAGGTGCTTTCCTTATGCTCATCTTGCAGCTGTGAAGACGGGCACAGAGAGACTCAATGGCTTGTCCCATCTCACAGCTTGTAAGTGACAATGCCTGCATCTGAATGCAGGGTTCGGGCTTGTAACCCCTAGACTACTTGTTTTTAGCAAAAAGTTATTTCCTAATTGCTACTGGATCCAATTGTGCTGAAAAGAACGACTTCAGCACATCATCTTTCTGCCCTCAAGCTAAAATTTCTTTTTTCTTTTTTGAGATGGACTCTCACTCTTGGCCAGGCTGGAGTGCAGTGGCATGATCTTTGCTCACTGCAACCTCTACCTCCTGGGTTCAAGTGATTCTCCTGCCTCAGTCTCCCGAGTAGCTGGGACTACGGGCAGGCAAAACCACGCCCAGCTAATTTTTATATTTTTAAGTAGAGATGGGTTTTCTCCATTTGGTCAGGCTGGTCTCAAACTCCTAATCTCAAGTAATCTGCCTGCCTCAGCCTCCCAAAGTGCTTCGATGACAGGTGTGGGTCACCATGCCTGGCATCAAGCTCATATTTCTATTGAATAAATTCCTAGATGTAAGTCTGCTGGGCCACAAGGTAGATATATTTGAAGAAATGATAGAATTTACCAAACCGATCTCTCTTCCTCAAGCTTGCTCCTGTTTACACTCCCACAATGCCTCTGATGGGCTCAGAAGTGAATGGTCCCAAGCTAATGGAACAGCTGAGGCCTGCT